CATACATTGCAGAAAAGTAATCATCCATTTTTTTTTTTTTTTTTTTTGCAAATCTACATGTTTAGAGACCTCCAATCCCCCAAAAAAAGTCAATAAAAGGGAAAAATTCACACACATCTGTGTGTTGGCATCTAATTTGTTTAATTTCTTTATTTTCTGTTCTGGGATAAACAATATCTCAGAATGGGTAAAGTTTAAGAAATGAAATTTGGCACAGTAGCTTGCATATAAAGAGGCATTAATGCTATTAAATTTTGGTTCTTAATTAAAGGTCGACAGGATAGAGACAGAAGGGGTCATGTGTCATATCTCCAGTACAGTGGAACTTAATATTTTACTCATTATTAGCATTCACATTTTTTTAAAATCATCTCCACCCTCAAAATTAAGCTTTTTTGTCATTTTATAATAGTACAGTAAAACCTGTTAAGATGTTCTCGCCTAAGATGTTAGAATGTGTATGGGAGCATGATTTAGTTCAACCACTTTGACACTTAATAACTACTGTGTTAAACCATCTGATTCCAATTTAAAAACCACAGTAGTTATTAGGCTTCAAATAGGGTGAACAAAATCATGCCCCATACACAGAAAAAAATCTTTAATCTTTTGCATCTCTGAATTTCAAGGTGTCCATCCCCTCTATTGTTAAGCAAATAGGCCATGGTACCAATTTGTAGGTAACCTGGTAAAAATCACTTTATAAATTTCATTAACAGATGTCAGCACTTTTTGTCTATCATTTGTTTCACATTTTTGTCCAGGTGGTGTTTTGTTGACTTAAAAATTCTAATTAATGTTTTTTCCACCATGTTATTTTTTTGATAATTTTATTATTTCATTTTCTGCATATTATTGTAAGATTATTGCATGAATATGTTCATTCACACTATAATAAGTCAACATGTTATAAATATTCAAGTTGTGACCTTCAGTTCTGACAATTTATATATTTTTTATTTTAATCTAAAATATCAGCAATGTTACATGAATTACTACAGGTAATCATGTTTATTACAAAGATTTATATTTTTGTTTGACATGAAGTGAATAAAGTATATTAATTCATTATATTAGTTGATAGCAGAATAAAGTTTTGATTTCAAACAAATGTTTGATCTAATGTATGTTTATTTGTTGTGAAATTATCACACAAGTGTTATATAGAGTTGTACAAAACAATATTCTACCTCTTTCTGGCTTAGTGCAAAAAAATTAGGTAACTAGACAATGTTCATTTTGACAAAAGTTAAATTTATCAAGTTTAAATGTCATTTCAGATATTTTTTTCTTATAAATTTCTCTAATAAAATGTATTGAAAAATTGAAAAATATTGTATTTAAAACTAGAGATATTAATAAATGTACATGATTTTTTTCATATGAATATAATGATAATTCAATTTTGGTGAATTTTTTAAATATTGCCTGACTGACCTATATTGCCCTAGGCCAGTTTACAAAATAAACAAGATAATGCCATAAAAGGGTTAAATGTTAAAAGTAAAATGCTCATTTTTCACAGAAGTTCATCCAATTACACACCCACCTACATATTTTTGAATTTAAATCTATCAATTTAATACTAATGCCCTATTCAAACACAATCTTTCAATACATTCAGACTTAATTCATGAATTTTGTAATGTTAGCATAAGTTAAATTCAAAAATGAATTTTCTGCTGTATTTTAAAAGAATTTAATCAAGTCCATAAGTAGTAAGTAGGTATTTTTCCATGAGCAGGAAACTGTTTCCTTGGTTGTCATTATGGCTAATGTAAAGAAAATGCCCAAGTACTTCAAGGCAACACAGGTCCAAACTGATGAAGTTCTGGATGAAATTTGTTAATCTATCTAAAGCCATGGTCATCATGCAATTTCCAGCCGCCCAGGTAACTGCAACCACTGCTCTCGTTAATGAACCAGTTTTTGTGAAGGTCTATTAATTGCACTGTCATCTGGAGTTCTTGCTTACAATGCAAGAAGTGTTCTGTTTCTTTTCTTTGCAAACATTAACAGAATGTTGAAATGTTTTAGTTATTACGGTATGCTGTTTACTGTTTAAAATGTTTAACTTGTAAATATATGGATAATAGGTAATTAGTATAGGAAATAATTACAGTACAATCTCAATAGTAATCTGGCTACTCACTAGTTTCACTTGATTACTGGACTGATTATGGATCTTTCCAAACTGTAAACAAGCTTCCAACATGGCATGAAATCAAACCAAGCTACAAACACTCAAAAATCAGCCCTCCTAAATTTCCCACTGAAAATACTGTACCCCCACTAAATTTAGTGGGATTCCACAACTAAGCAGCATGTGGTTACTGGGGTGTATATACTTTTCATTTAAGATTAATCTAAGATCAGATCAGTCTGTCATGTGATACAGATTGCTTCTATCATGTGTTAGTTGACAGGAGGTATAAGTAGGATCAAATCATTTACTTCCTGACTAAAACTGCTCAAATAATGGTAAAATAGAGTTCATGCCATGCATCCTTACCATACAATCTCACAAAACTGTCCTTCACTACTTACTTTTTCACCTGAGTTCAGATTTTTACCATTTATTAAGTTTTAAATACTTCTCATTGTCAACAGTTAAACATTTCTTTGCTGTCAACTATCAGCCTGACTTTAACCATGGAGGTTGACATCTTTAATATTTTTTATCTGATCCAAACATTCCTACCCTCCACTGATTATTTTGACCATAATACAGTTGATCCTAGATGGCATTTGTATACATGATTTGAATGATCAGAGTTATCTTTAATTAGTTTCATTCAAAACATATATCCATCCCTGGAGATGGTTGTACAATGACAATGTTTTTGATTAATACAATGTACTAATCAACATGCACAAATACAATAGCCCCTTGTTATATGACAGATTTGGATATATCATGCTTCTTTTTTAGTTTCCCAAATTGTATTGACCCAAGTGCTTTTAACACTTGGGTTAATATATTTTAAAATATCAATTTCTATTGAATTTCTTTTTGCAACAAAACACAGTATTTTATTCCTACTACTGTCCTTGAAACTATCACTGCAGGTGAAACAATAATTTGTCAATATCTAAATAAGCAAAACAGATGAACATCTCAATTACCATTTATGTTTCCTTTTGTTATTAAGTGGTTTGTTTATTAATTTTAAGTACTGCTTCCATGTTTACAAGTTTTGGTGAATTCTAAATTTTACACCTTCATGTGAATTGATGGTTTTGCCTCAATTTACAAAGATGTGAAATTTCCAACACAGCAAAATTTTTAAGGAAAAGATTTCATTTCTGAACAGAAAACTTCTAAAAATTTTTTTTTATAGTAGTAGCTTTATATTTTGCTTTTTATAAAATTAGAGTAAAAAAATTCTCTAGGTTTTGATGTTCTATTACATGTTCAACATGTTCTTTTTTTAATTTTCAATTACTGTATTTACAACTTTTATTCAAAAATATAAAATATGAATTTTTAATAAGCAATTTATTATGAAATATTGTACTGTATAATAAAATTGCAACTGATTATGATTTTATATCAACACTACTTGTCTTTAAATGTTATTAAAGAAACAATAATGCTAAATGGGTGTTATAGAAACATTTAGCATTATTGTTTCTTCAATGTTTACATAAACATTCAATTAATATGATATAACCATGAATAAAAATCAGTTTTGCAAAACAGCTTATTTTATATCAAACACTTGCTGACAAATGAAGAGAGATTAGATTCCAAACCATTTATATTGTTTAGTACAGACCCAGAATTTTTAAGTTATATGCACTTGTCTCCTGACAAGTGCATATAATATAATGAGGGCTACAGTACTTTCATTCTAAATGATTAACCATTGAATTCACTAATTCCAATAGTTCAGCAAGCTCTAATCCAATACTATTTTAATTCCATTAAAATGTCCCATAACTACCAAGACTGCACAATAACTCCATTACAGTACAATTTCCTCATACATTATGTGTCTTGGAACATTAATCGTGTATGGCACGCCCTGCCGTACATGATTAATGTTCCAAGCCGCTTAGTTTTCAAATCTTACTGTTATGAAATTAATAAATGAAAAGGAATACTTACCAGCAGTCTTTGGGACAACATCTGAACGAAGCTGCAAAAAAATTTTAGCATGAATAAAAAACTTACAAATGGAAAAATCTTGATTTAAAAATTGCAAAAAATTGCTTGTACATAAGAATTCAATTCAGATACTATAATGAAAATAAACCTCTCGCTTGCTTTCATGATATTCATGTTGGCAATACTACAAATTTACCTTAAATGCTGCCTTTGCAACATTAACAGTCAATAAATGAAAAATAAACTCTTACAAGATTAAAGAAAAATCCTACAACTACAGATTAACTGAACAGTTGTTCTTTTTTCTTTTTAGAAATTTTACCCAGTAAATATCTACCAGTTGTAATTAATATAAAGATTTAACCTCAAACAATGAAATTCATAATCACTTACTATTAAACCAGAATGGACAGTAATAATTCGTGATAATCAGACTAAAGAGAAAAATTACATTAAAATCTAAAATCTTAAGTTACAGAAATCTAATTAACTGATAAAAATGATGGTTAAATATTATTGATTGTTTTGATGGACTCCCCCATTTGATAGTCATATTTGATCTAGAAGAGAAATAAAGTAGTATCTTGTCTAAGCCCTGACATTAATTACGGAAGTTTGCCAAGATGTAGAAATCTTGTTTTAAATGGGAAACTTAAACACTGCTTACCATTTCTAATCAGTTCAGTCACTTGTTACATTGCTGCATACTTATGTGGTTGTGTTTGCAGTAGACATGAGCCTGAACATCATTACAAAAAACAAGACAAAAGTTTAAAAAATTGGCTGTAGTCAAAAGCAAATTTATTGCTAGAGAAAAATGGACAGATTCCTGTTTATTACTTTTATCTTAAGTTTTTAATAAAAGCATAAATCTAGTATTTTGAATTATAGAAGAGCCTCCTGTAATTCAAGATATTTTCTTATCACTAACCAACTAGTTACCACACAACTGTTGTGTTGTATCGTAATAGAACTGAGGAAGATCGTTGTTTTTTTTGTAATTAAAAATTTAATTAGGATTATTACATAAATTATATTTTTTTCCATCTAACCCAGACATTTGAATGTAAGGGCTTGTATTGTATGCTTTAGGGTTTCTCAAACGAGATCCCAGTTGATTTTTTAAACCTGGGAAATATCTCAAGAAATTCTTCTCATCAAATTTCTTAACCTGTCCTATGTTGTTCCCGAAAATATTCGTGTTGACCTCATTGACCTGCATGGGCGATCCCGAATATATTCATGTTTACATCAGAACGTTTTTGATACTAGATGTCGCTAAGCGTCACGATTTTTACATTAAAACAAACTTCTAAAATAATTGTTTTTGTTTTTATATTATTCAATATATTTATTTTGTTTGTGAAACACAAAAAAATATATTTTTACGATACAGTAAACAATTATTTTTTTAAAAAATTTTAGGCTTAACATCAACGAAAATTCAACATGGCATCACACGCAACAAATAAAAATTTCAACATCAAATAGGTTAAAAGTTCTTTTTTCTTATTTTGTGTTAAGGTTGAGGAAATTTTGCAAATAGGAAGTATAATTAACTCACTGTCAGAATACATTTGTATTTACTAATTTTAAACGTACTTATTAGTTTAATTATTCCTTGTTATGGCATGTCACAAATGGTCAATTATCAATATGTAGCTTATTTGTGCCAGGACTCTGAAAATTCTTTACTTGTCAGAACCTGTAATATCTGGAATAATTGTGCTTATTATGCTGTCTTAATTTTTAACCATGCCCAGTAGTTTCGATAACTGCGTAATGCCAGGTTGTGCAAATTGGGCAAGGATACAAATGAGTACAAAGTCTGCAAGTATGAAGTTTTTCTTAATAAACATGATTATTAAAGTAAAAATAGTAAAATAAACTATGGCCGGCATTAATTACATTTTTAAAAAATTGTATAAATACAAAACGAAATATTCACAATTGTATTTATACAATTTTTTAAAAATGTAATTAACGCTGGCCATAGTTTATTTTACTATTTTTACTTAAAATGTGATATTGTGAAAAATGGCTAACAAACACCAGAGGACGCTTTACCTATATTTACATTTTTTGCCGAAACAGTAGCCTAAAAAGGAAGGTCGTCTCGGAAACTTGTGAATTGTTTTTAAGGATTGCTGATGGTGTAGAAACGGCGGAAAGATAGACAGAAGCGAGGTTTTTTACCTTTGTGAATATGTCGTTTTGTATTTATACAATTTTTTAAAAATGTAATTTACGCCGGCCATAGTTTATTTTACTATTTTTACTTAAAATGTGATATTGTGAAAAATGGCTAATAAACACCAGAGGACGCTTTACCTATATTTACATTTTTTGCCGAAACAGTAGCCTAAAAAGGAAGGTCGTCTCGGAAACTTGTGAATTGTTTTTAAGGATTGCTGATGGTGTAGAAACGGCGGAAAGATAGACAGAAGCGAGGTTTTTTACCTTTGTGAATATGTCGTTTTGTATTTATACAATTTTTTAAAAATGTAATTTACGCCGGCCATAGTTTATTTTACTATTTTTACTTAAAATGTGATATTGTGAAAAATGGCTAATAAACACCAGAGGACGCTTTACCTATATTTACATTTTTTGCCGAAACAGTAGCCTAAAAAGGAAGGTCGTCTCGGAAACTTGTGAATTGTTTTTAAGGATTGCTGATGGTGTAGAAACGGCGGAAAGATAGACAGAAGCGAGGTTTTTTACCTTTGTGAATATGTCGTTTTGTATTTATACAATTTTTTAAAAATGTAATTTACGCCGGCCATAGTTTATTTTACTATTTTTACTTAAAATGTGATATTGTGAAAAATGGCTAATAAACACCAGAGGACGCTTTACCTATATTTACATTTTTTGCCGAAACAGTAGCCTAAAAAGGAAGGTCGTCTCGGAAACTTGTGAATTGTTTTTAAGGATTGCTGATGGTGTAGAAACGGCGGAAAGATAGACAGAAGCGAGGTTTTTTACCTTTGTGAATATGTCGTTTTGTATTTATACAATTTTTTAAAAATGTAATTTACGCCGGCCATAGTTTATTTTACTATTTTTACTTAAAATGTGATATTGTGAAAAATGGCTAATAAACACCAGAGGACGCTTTACCTATATTTACATTTTTTGCCGAAACAGTAGCCTAAAAAGGAAGGTCGTCTCGGAAACTTGTGAATTGTTTTTAAGGATTGCTGATGGTGTAGAAACGGCGGAAAGATAGACAGAAGCGAGGTTTTTTACCTTTGTGAATATGNAAAATTTTACTCGTCATAAAACGATAAATAGTTTGTCAAATTTTTATTCATAAAAATGGTTTCAACTGCTTTTTATTTTATAAAACCAGTCTTCTTGCGCTACCAGAGAGCCTTTTAAACAATAGGTAGTCTGTTAGCGTTGGTCAATAGTAGTCCAAATTCAATACGAACGTTTGTTTCTTGAAAATTTGATCACGATTTAAATACTTTTAATATTACCGATATGTCATTGAAAAGAAAACGTGTTGTATTATCATTAAAAGACAAATTAAAGTATCTGTTTTGATTTTCCTTATCCGGACTACCTTCATCCCCAATTAGTCCGGATAATCGAGGTTCTACTGTATATCATTTGATTTCATGATATTTTGTATATCTTAAAAATAATTCTGTCCTGGGATCATGGGAAATGAGAAACCCTGGTATGCATGATCCAAAGAAAATGGCTGCTGGCTACATAAGAATTCTTACACTTGGTCACAGGAAAGGCAATTCTTACATTCACTTGGTATTGATTGCTTTGTTCTTGTGTTTATTCATTTTTGACACCCATTTTCCATGCAATGCTGGTTTTTCCCCCTTCTTAAATTCCATTTGGCACCTCAATTACATCAGGGAGCATGGACATTATCACTGACCCTAATGTATCTTTGAAGTGAAGACAGTGACCCTAATGTATCTTTGAGATAAAGACACTGACCCTCCCCCATTTTATTTTTATTACTAAATTTTTGGATTTCTCACAATTAATGGGAAATGAATGCTTATCAAAATAAACCAGTGAAACTGAGAATGAACACAATTCTGTAAGCCAAATAGAACAGGCTTTGCTAATGCTCTACCTGAATGTTGATATTTTTCAGAAATGTGTTCCAATACATTGTTAGGCATTTAAATTTTTGTCAAGACCAATACAAAATGGCTAAGAAAACTTGAAATTAATCTATTGTTTTTGAATATTTCACTTTATAACCACAGATGGAAAACTCAATACATGACTGATAATAAGCATAATGAAAACTGAAAAAAGAAAAGTGTTTTCAGTTTCAATAGGAATGCCTATTGATTCACTTAAGTGATGAAATATCATTGTTTAGTTATGGCAACAACACTTACACGATCTGCCTTTCAGGTGGTCTTTTTAAGGAAAACTGGCCCCTATTAAGACATTACAGACATGGAGAAAACCCAAAAAACTCCACGTGGCCAGCCTTTCAGAGCAAGGCACGAATCCACGACCAAACTCCCAGTGTTCAGGGAACGAAGACTAATTGGCTACTGGTAGGCCAAATATTTAGAGTTAATAAAATCAAAGTATATTTTAAGTTATTATTTAGAAAGTTGGAGTTTTATGCTATAATCCTACAGCAGAGGAAAAAAACTGAAAATTTTTACATTCATTTAGCAGTTTAGTGTTGCATGGCAAATTATACTGCAGCACATTTCAATTATTTGTACGATCCAAGTTGAACTTGGAAACTACATAGCAATAATTAATTGCTTCACAAATTATTTTGTGCAAGTAAGTAATAATTCAGGAATACTTTACATCAGTGTTTCTCAACCTCTAACGAATCGTCGCCCCCCTTCAATAAAACCATTACCTATTATCGACCCCTTCACTTCAAAATTCCGATGCCGAGGACCAAGACTAACTCCAAATTCGTACTGCATTGAATAGACTAGTGACTAGTATAACGTTATTTGTTTAATTATTGTACGATATAACGAATAAAATATCTAATTATTCTTAATATAATGTTTTACTATATTGCCCAGAAAATTGTTTTTCGCCCCCCCAAAATATAAATTGTTACTAATCACCCCCTCAACATGGAAAAACGCCCACATGGGGGCGATATTGCCCCCGTTGAGAAACACTGTTTTGCATCTTAAAAATACATATTCTACAGCCTTGCTTCTTGTGATACTTGGTATAACATGTTTGCAATTCCTGCAAACCAGATTGATAGGAAACAACCCAGGAGGTCTTTGACATAGTAAACAAGCACATTAGTTTAATGGGTTTATACTGTACAGACATACCTCTGTCTTTTCATATTGTTTTCAACAGTCTCTATGTGATTGTTGAGTTAGGAATTACATGTTTATACTATTGTTCCATGAAATTGTGGAAGAATTCAAAATGGAGTATATGGATTAGTTTAAACTATTAATCAAACTAATAAAAAGCATCCAACTTACTTTAGAAAAGTCAATTATTAGAGGAAGCAGAGAAAAACATTTGATAACTATTGTTGAAATCTGTAGATCATGATTCTAAATTGTTCCATCAGTTCAAAAAGGAACACTGTTCAGGACTACAGAATTTTTATATTTCATTTAAATAAAAATTAAGTTTCAATGCCTAATCTAATTGTTTTGTCTCATTTATGATATGAAGCTCCTCAATTGCCAGGATTGCCCATGTCCTGTACACAGAGCTACCAAATTTAGTTTGTGCCAGGCAGATTTATTAAAAAAATCAATTGGAAGAAACTCAGCATAGAACAAATGAACAAGCTCAAGTTTAAGGAAATAAGACAATGAACTGAAGAGTAATAAAATTATGAATACATTTTTGCCATTCTAGGCGATGATAGCTATATAGAAAACATTAATGAGGCAGTGGACAGATGATATAGTCTAATATTGTGGAAGACATTCTTTGGGTCTAAGATTTTAACCAAGTTGTGTAGAATTATCAAGTTTATTAAAAATTGGAAAGCTTACCTCAAAAATAAAATAATCAAAAGTATGAGTAGTATGACAAAAGAATAATTAGATTACAATGCTTGTTACAGTTAAGTTTTATTATAATCCTGTGTGTCATTAAAGACATTGCAGTGCAATCTATCTTTGTTTTAACCAACTACTCCAGAGGACCAAGCACAATGCATGTCCAATCTTATTCACAAGAGTTCTTAATGCATAGTTCTTTTTACCTTAACATTATTTCTATATATCTACTTAATCTTCAGTAGTTTGTTATGTATATTTGCTCAGTCCAGATAAAAGGCTAAATCAAGGTGCATAGATTTGAGAAATTAAGAATCTACTAAGAAATCTGTCATTATAAAATTAGTTTTAAGCTATTACATTTTAAAATATAGCAGAATAACATAAAAGTCCATCCTTCCTACATGGGGCATTTTTTTTCTAATTTTGCTTTCTTAGACCCCTATAGTAGATGTAGAATAACACATTTTTGGGGGCGACATGTTTATTAAGAGCTATAAGCGAAAACTCATCGGATTACTTACCAACTCTGAATGGTGGAAGTCACCATTGCTTAAGCTTGTTTTCGTCGTGGAGAAGCACATTGTACAGCAGACGTGTACAAAGAGTGTCACATGACATTTCTCAATGCTGTCCAATCACGATATATCAATATACTATAGATGTATTTTGTAATTAGAAATGACTTATGTTACTGGTCATATTAAATGAGTTAACAACAATAGGTAAAATTTTACCAATTTATGTTTATTTGCACCATCATGGCACCAGTCGTGACTATTCATGATCCCAACAGACTCCTGGAGGGAAGCCGCCAATTGTTTAACGTCAGTAGTTATTGATTCGTGGTAGTTCTTGAACACATTAGTATCAATAATTAGTATGTGATCGAGCGACATCAAAATCAGGTCACATGACACAAATTTGACCAATGTGCTACTCAGTGATGTGAACGAGGTTAAGCAATGGCAGCTTCCACTGTTCAGAGTCGGTAAGTAATCCAAAGAGTTTTCGCTTATAGCTCTTATTAAACGTGCCGCCCTCAAATTTCTGTGTATAGGACACGTCTACTAGGAAGGTGTCTTAAGAGCAAAATTAGAAAAAACACCCCATGTAGTAAGGATGGACTTTTACCCAGAATAATTTGAAATCACTGATAAAAAAAAAGGAAGCAAAGTTTCCAAGACAACTCTGAACAAGTCAGTAATTTACAGACTCCTTGAAAGTATGTCCAAAGCTTATTAATTTTATTAGTTTTCAGTAGGGAGTTAAAACATGTCTCAGCTTTGATCATTTGAAAATTAATCAATTTCTAACACAAGATTCCAATATAATTGTTAATTTAAAAGTTACGCATAACCTAAAACATCCAATTCACTGAAAACAACAATTTTCAGGATATTTAAGGCTAAGACTCCACTATCGTAAAACCCCCTCGCCGTAAAAGCTTTTAATCACGTGACCTATTTGCATTCGCACTCAGATTATGGTGGAGGTCCGACTAGCGCAATGGTACTGCCCCAACTGTCGAAAGTAAATACTTCTTTGCATGTGAATTGGTAGAAACGAAAGACGGTTGTATATGCTAAATGGTTGAAAGATGGTTGTATATGATTTTTCGATACAAAGACAATGATTATATTCTACAAGTTTTTTCTGTACTATAATTACAAATGTAGTAAAAATAATATCTTTACTTTCATATACTAACTTTTATTATCGTATTATTATGATAATATACAGCACTTATAAGCTTAGCTTTTTTATTATATACTCCTCTAAATTGAAGGATTTCCTTTGGTATCCATTATTATAATCAAGTTACCTCTCGTCGTAGATACACGAATACTTTCGGATGTTTTCGATAAATCTTTCCACATCTATTCTAGAGTAGCCACGAGGGAACGTACACAAAAGCTCGTTTTCCGCCATTTTAGCTCCGTGTCGCGATGACCTAGATTTCGCTGACTTCTGATTGGTGGAAGGTACCTCTTTACGGCCGTATTCGCGTCAAAAGTTGAACATAGCTCAACTCACTTCAACACTGGTTTTACGGCCTGCTCAAGCGTAAGATATCAGGGTCACGTGATTAAAACTTTTACAGCAAGGGGTTTTTACGGTAGTGGAGTCTTAGCCTAACTTAGCATTTAACTATTTAAAGGTTTTAACAATATTTCTAACACAAAAGGGACAGACTTCCATAAAACTGATCCCTGATATTTGATTTGCTTAACTATATTTTTAATATAGTAATCAAACCAAATTTTACTTTAGTTCCTATGAAAGAATTTTAAGCTTCCTTTATAGAAACAAAGTTGCTTTGAAGCAAAAGTTCAACAATTCTGGTGAAAATGGCTGAACTGAATCTGAACTAAAAATATTTTTCACAGAATAAGTCTACCGATGCAGCTGTTCAGTCTTACCAATGAAGAAGAAGAGCTAAGTTTATCATATCTAAAGTTCTTATTATCTAGAAGAAAAAAAAAAAGGTTATTAGAATTTTTTTAATCTGCTCATGCAAGTTGATAATGCATATCAAACAGACGAAGTTCTAGAAAGTTCGACAAGGGGTCGCCATCTTTGTTGCTCTGATACTTATAGCACAGGCAAAATTCAATTAACGATATTTAAACGAAAATAACGGGAGAATATAAAATACTTCCCACATAAGAAAATTCCAGAATATGTAAGCAATCAGGAAATTCAGATTTATGTAGCCATAAAAAAAAGACCATTTCTTATTGGCTATTTTGCATCCCAACATATCGTTTACGACCAATCACCAAATAGATATTTAAAAGACGTCACGAAACAAACCACGTGATCAGACTACATCAATTGTTAACAGTTTACGGTGAACAAAGGGCGCCATTTTGCCGGTATTCTTGAAATTTTCATTTTGCCATTTTTACATTTCATTAATTGAATATAAATAATTACGTATAAATTTTCTACAAAATTAAAATAAAATATAAAAAAAAATTAGACTGAATTACACGAAATTTTTGAATAAAACTGGCAAGCATGACCAGAGTCTGCGAGACACGCGGCTGAAACAAAAAATCATAAAAAGTCGTTGTAGAATTATACTTACTTCCATAGTAATTCGTCCAATGGGTTGACCATCGGCAACCATATCGAAATAACATCTTGGTAGAGCCATTTCGTTAGAAATTCGTCGAACTAGAGACCTAACTTCGGAAAAGCAGTTCTGTCGAACGACAATGCGACAACCAGCAGTGAAAGAACGAAGTGCTAGCACGTGAACCATTTATGTAATGCGGTTCAGATCGCTAGACATGTATACCTACTCTGATCTAATCAGTATATCTCTTTTATTTTATGAAAATATGTATTAAATTAAACGTGAATAATAAAATATGAAATGTATGTAAAAATTATGAAAAAACAAACAAAACACCATAAAAAAACTATTATAAATAAAATAAAATAAATAATTTTGAACTATTTTCTATTGCGGAATATTACTTACGGTAATCGGAAGAGTCGATTTGATCGCAATGAAAGGGGGGAAGTTGGTTACGTACACGTAAGAGCAAATTAATTTTTAAAATAAAATATTAATATTATATTATTTACAATTTTACTATATATTTATTTTTTAAAGTTATTATTTAGAAATAATTTTTAATCAAAATAAATTTTTGGGTTTATATGTCGCATTAAGATTATTTGTATTTAGAGCATTGTTAATTACATATACAGTATAATACCTTAAATATGTACAAAATTGCTGTACTTTTACAATGATTATTATCTCGCGATTGTATTAATAAACAGAGAAATTTTAATAGAGAAATAATTTTATATTTTTAAAAATATTTAAACATAAAAAAAAATAATTAAAATTATTGATTCAGTTGATAAATAAATGGCAACACTATATAAAATGTGATACAAGATATATAATAATTATTTCAATTCGCGGTAAATAAATTTAAAAATAATCGCAAATAAATTTAATTTAATGTATACAAGATAATAATTCTTGTGTATTTTAAACAAATAATCAAAACTTAAATAGGTTCGAATTTCTCATACGTTGCCAAATTAAAAAAAAAACAACAAATAAAATTACGTTAATTGTTTGGATTAATATAAAAAAAAATAAAAGTATAAAATTTTAAATTTCATGTACTGTTCTCAACACATTATCAAAACGAATGTTGAAATTTATTGCAATGTTATAAATTTCCCATCAACCACGTGCTTTAATTAATTTTCCTTGAGTTTAGTCATTAAAATTTTAATTACATTTACAGATTTATACGAAAACAATTCAATGTTTAAAATTAAAATTATAAAGTTATTTAAAAAAAATCAAATAAATCTAAAGAAAAACAAGAACAAGAAGAACAAAACAAAAGCAATATATATATATATAATGATAAGCAAGGTCAAATACTAAATTGTAACTTATCTACATAAATTATATACAAAAACATTTCCATCTATTTAAAGGATTAAATATTTTGAGAAATGTTTAACTATTTTCCAGTATTCAGTTATTGCTTCATGTATTTTCTATATTTTAAAATACAGAAAATATTTAAATTATTGATTGAAGTTACTAAAAAGTAGAAATGCTACAAAAATAAGATTTTTTTAAATGAATTTTCTTTATCACATTTCATATATAAAATTTTATCATACACAGACTATATATATATATATCTTTATAGATGTATCATATGAAGAATGAAATAAAATTTAATAATAAAATTTAGTTTAAAATAAGAAAAAAAAAAATTATTTTTTGAATGAGTAGATATTATTATCATATTCGCATTAAAACGTTATGTTTTAATAGTTTTTATTTTAATTATTAATTTCTCAAGTAATCAAAATAAATGTCATAAAATATTTTATTTTATTATTTTAATTTAAATTATAAACTTGCNGGTATTATGGAATAGTCGGGTAATATGGAATACCGAGGTTTCGGCTCTGTTTGTTGCTGCTATTACGTGGGAATACCATGAACTACTCAAGAAAGACTCCCACGATACAGTGCAGTGAGAGTTGACTGCTTGTTGTCGTCGTACCACTCGCTACAGAACAATGTGTGTTTTGCGATTTTTAAGAGTTTATGCAGGCAAGTTTTCAAACATTTTAACCTACTAGTACATATGTGACTCGAACATTGATGTTAAGCATAATGTTCTCTAAAATAATTGTAGTTTGTTATACTGTAGTCGTTTTTTAGCTGACAATGTTTAGTCCATCAGTTTATAGGTTCATTTTCCAAGATGGTGTGTCTGGTGTTAGGGAATATTAGGATAGATAAATGGATAAACTGAAAGAAAAGGACAAAAAGAAGGAACCAGAAGCTTCAAAACAACGAAAGAAACCGAACATTCAAAGACCACCTGTTAAGAAATTAAACTTAGACCGACCTTCTAAACCCAGTGGCATAGCGTGGGTGTCAGCCGCCCGGAGCAGAGGAAAATTTCGTCGACCCCTTATTTAGGTATCTCAATTTAAAAGACTAAAATTCAGTTTCGTGACAGAATAAGTAATGAAAAATTCCGTGCTAGCGTTGCCACCTTTTTAAAATCGCCGACCCTGAGGTTTGTTCGAACAGAAGTTCCTGACGCATGCGTATATCATTTTGCAATGAAGAATATTTTGCAGTGCATGCTGGTACTAAATCACTTACAGTTAGCGACTAGGGAGACTCGGGTAGGAATAACGTAAGTAATCTAGAGGACTTAGGCCTATTGGATATTGGAGGTGTATATCGGTACGAATGAATCGTACAAGCAAAAAAAAATAAAATAAAATAAAAATGTCGACAGGTTGCGCAGTATTCCCACTATTTCGTGCTCATTTCAATCGGTCCGAATCGTAGGTGGACGTAAATATGAAATAAAATGGTTCAAATTCTTACAAGATATTATTATTATTTATTGTCAAATTTTGCCGCCCCCTAAAAAGTGCCGCCCCCTAGCTACGCTACTGTCTAGACCTAAACCTACTAGAGATGACTCCAGTGTTAGCAGCGATGAATCGTTCCATTCTGATGTATCGTCTGTAATGGACTTCATGCCATCAACTAAAGAACCAGAAAACGAAGACGCTGAATGTATCTTCTGTAACGGAAAATTCCCCGAAGATGAACGAGGGAAAATTTGTATTGAATGCTTCAGTTGTTCTCTGTGGGCTCACCTTGATTGTGCCGGAGCAGAGAAAGAAAATTATATCTGTGATTTTTGTAAATAGACTCGAAGCAGGAATGACATGCACATAATCTTAAAAATATGAGTTAATTTTAACTATAAAAATATGTTTTATGAAGTCTAATTAGTTTTTCAATGATTTAAACCACCTATTCCATATTACCCTCCATTTGTGACTTTAAAAAAAAATTTATAACAACAAAATAAATAGTATCTTTTTTACAAGTGACAGTTCATTACAATTAGTTATAGTATGTACTCATGATGATTTTACTGGTTTTTGAATAAAAATCCCAAAGTTATTTTTAGAAATGTAAATGGTATTCCATAATATCCTCCTCTCTCTCTCTCTCTCTCTATATATATATATATATATACTATACATGTAAAAATCTTTTGATTCAGTTTTACATGACTCCATGAATATTTTCCTCTTTTCCTTTTTCAATTTCTTTCTAAATTAATATATAATTTATGGAAAGAAATTTGATTATTTATGTTGTTATTTACTAATATTCTCTTTATAGACTTGTTAACCAACTAACCGAAAATTTCATAATTTTTAAAAATTATTGCGGGTGAATGGCAAATTTTTAAAAATGATCTTAGATTCAGTTCAGTAGTTGCTTATATCATGTTCATGTTTAGTTTAAATAATAATTAAAGAATAAATTCTATTAGAAATGAAATGCAGTTAGAACACTAATATTTATAATTAATAAGAAATTTATTTAAATTTTTATTAACTTAACTTTTAATATTCCGGTATGATAAATCGCTGTAAATCGATTTTTCTTCCTTTGGTTAATTGATTACATCTATAATTACGATTAAGTATAATTAGACTGACAATTTCTTAATCTGTTCCTGACTCCAAAAACAAAGTCTTTTTATAACCTTTTTAGCTATATTTTATGCATAAAAATGCTTACAAATTCAATATAAAATTATATATAATATAATCATAAGGTTCGGTAGAGGCAAACCGTCAAGTAAGCGAGCGAACGAACGAACGGCTTAACAAAGTGAACCTTACTATACTGGAATTAGAACACTTTCTGCCTATCCGAATTCACATTATTAAAAAAATAGATATACGCGTCATCTGTACAAAATTTGAAAATCATCGTCCTCTGAGAATTTTTTTGTTCTACGTATGTATCAAATTTTATCGAGTTCCGTCCATTCGTTCCCTAGTTATTGATTTTTTACTGATGTTTTTCCTTTCATTTAAAAATTCTTTTCTCCTTCAGCCAAAAATTTTTCGTTTAGTGAAATGTACGCTAGGACGCGCACATCATTATGTACGTAATTTTAATTTTAACATTTTTTTACAATAATTTAAATTTTTAAATAACACAATCTTGAACTTATTTAAATTACATTAGTCTATACTAATGTAATGTTCAAACTCTGGTTTTAGTTTTTGTTAAGTTATGGCAACGCAATACTTGGGCGATCTGTTCTAGGGGGATGCCTTCCGGAATTCTTTTTAAAGGCAACTGCCCCCTGTTTAGGCGTTACAGATGTAGAGAAAACCCGGAAAACTTCATGTGGCTAGCCCGTCCGAGCGAAGCATGAATTCGCGACCGAATTCCTAGTGTTCAGGGAACGGAACCGCTTAGCCACTGGTGGACCAACTCTGGGTTAGAGGTGAGAAAAACTAGTTCCGCCTCTGGAACTGGAACTATTGGAAATGATCCAAGTGCGAAATAATTCCGACGGAACGGTATCTCGGAACTACTTAGTCTGTTGGACAAGATCAGGGATAGCGAACCTATGGCACGCATCCCCAAAGTGGCACATAAGGAGTTAAAGATGAGTGAATTAATGTTACTGTTTATGAAGCACATGAACGTCAAGTAATCGTTATTATGTCAAAAACTGTAATGGTGGTGTCAAGAATTTTCGTTATATACGTTTTGATATCGTTGCCAATATCATTTTTAATAATACAATATTTGGGTTTTAAAACGCACATTTGGGTTTTAAAACGCACATTTGGTGTTTTAAAACCGTGCGTTTATTACAGATTGCAATTACTTTCACTATTGCATTAAAGTCTATATAATGTGATAATAAATCCTTCAAATTGTTTATAA